GTGTCTTGATGACTCCTGAGCTTCCTAAAGAGTATAAAGCAGGCATTGAAGGCTTGTTGAAACATAGTGCTGGGGCAGGGGGGAAGTTTGATTCTACAGCCAGCGGGCAGTTTCAGTTATAACCAGTGTGTTTATGTTTTCATTTGAGATTTATACTGGTAGTTTGGTTTGGTATTATCAGGGGTAGAAAAGATCCCAGCAGAAGCCCAGAGCAGGGTAGATACAGGACCTGGGGGCCCAGTGCCCAGAGCAGGGTAGGGTCAAGGCCAAGAGGCCCAGTGCCCAATCAGGGCAGAGACAGGGTCAGAGGCCCAATGCCAGAGTGGGCAAGACATGGGCTGGAACCTAGAAGCCAAGTCAAGGACAGTGGATCTGGGCTAGACAGCCCAGTGAGAGAAAAGGGGAAGAGGCCAAGAAGGCTGAGGTCCCAACAAAGGAGGCTGATTGGACAGCAACATCTGAGGCATAGGCATGGCTACAGGGGAGGTCAGAGGCCAAAAATGAGCCCTTAATGTGATTAGTGTGTTAGAACACAGCCTGTTAGGGTGTGAGGGCTCGCTCTGGGACCCTTGGGCAGCCTCTCTTTTCCATGTTAAATATTTATATCAGGGAATGGCAGGAAGGAAGAAGGGGAAGATACCCAGACAGCTGGGGTCCAGGAGAGCCAGTCATACACATCTTTTACTTTTACGCAGATGCGCTGCAACAGGAGCTTCTAGCAGCAAATGACCAAATACATATCATATGAAGGAACTCTACACTTCAGCTATTTCTTTAGAAGAAGAGCTTTGTATAAATATTACGCTATTGTAAATTTAACAGTTATCAAGACAGCACCAGATGTAGATTTATGCTAGTGGATTTTATGTGTTTTGCGGCAGCATGTCTCATAAAAACTGCAATAAATATGCTAATTTTTAATGTCTTTATAGTTTAGTTTCATATTTTATCAACTTATAAAACAAAGATTAAATGTATATGGATATTATACTCTTGGCTATTGCTTTCAAAAGTGATATAAGACGAAGAATATCAAGATTAATATTTCAATAAAGGATGAATGCTTATTTTTTAATTTGGTATTTGGAATGCCTAATTCTTTGAGCACTAGATGCAACTATCAAGGGACATTAATGGAATTGGTCTGATATGAGGTGTTCACCTTTACTTTTTCTTTTGGCAACAGTTGTCCTGGATCTTCGAAAGATGGGTTTTCACTAAGGCATTTAACATTCATGCTTAATGCTGAGAAATCCTGGTTCAAGAGCAAAAGGTTAAAAAGGGAGAATAAGGCTAAAAGGAAAATTTATAGAGCAACTCCGTTTATTTTTCTACTGACTAACCATCTACAGAAATGATGGAACTTTGATCTTTTAGATGCAGATTATGAGAAGTTTGATTAAAAATATTTGGCACAGTGTTTGAAAATCTTACCTGCTAAGGCCAAACTTTGCCTTTGGGATAGTAACACTTTACAACAAAGATGTGGTACCTAATTTGCATGCAAATGTACATATTATATTAAAAATAAACTCATACAGCCATAATATTTGCTTGTTCTTTTTGTGTCTTGATAGATAGATAGAAATTACTTGTTGGATGAGCTCACTGGCAGTAAAATCAAAAGTCCACAGCATTCACAACACCGCTTTATAGAAATAACAGACATGGAACCAAATGTAGAAAGCAGCATGTATGGCAGCATAAATTATGCCTCTTGGGCTTGTTTCAGTGTTACTGGCAAAGACATGAAAGCTGGACTTCACCCCCATACCAGCCAAGGCTGTTGTGCCCCAGAGGTGATTCATTGCCACTCTGGATGAAAATTATTTGTCCTGCCTGCCTCTCTGCTAGTTCAGTCAGTGAGGGAAGCTTTCAATTGCAATCAGAGCTGCCAGGCAAAGCCTTGCCATAGGAACACACTGACTGATTGGACCTATACTGAACAGCAGAGAGCAGCCTTAACCAACAGTAGGGTTTCATACAGCTTTGTGAACATAGGGTGCCCCAAAGACAAATTAAATTATCTTATATCCCAGCCAGCCTGGTCATGTTCCTCTAGAAAATCACTGCCATTTTGGGGCACAACTAGCCAAGTATGGGCCTTCCTTCTCAGTGCCTGAAGAAACAGAGATTGTGGGTTCCTTGAACCAGCAAAAAACTCTCCCTGAGAGCTGTCCAAAGTACTAAACTAAATCTTGCCCACCTGGATATATTTTAGCAAACTGCACATCTAAAGAGGATGTAACAAGGTATGGGTAACTTAGCAAGGCAAGCAGTGTGTTACTCAGTTACCCATACCCCCAACCCCCACTGGCTGCACTGCAGCCATCTTCCTATTCCCATACCCAGTTTGGCCTAGCCCTCTCCCCTGCCACGCACTGATGTTCCCACTCCCAGTTTGGCCCAGCCCTCTCGCTTGCCACACATTTATGTTTAAGTTAATATATATTTTTAGGAAGCTGCCTTTAAAGAACCAGGGTTTGGCCTTTGGTACCTTGCTCCAGCCTGCTGATCATCAGGCTGCAAGTCTGTCCTGCCCAGTCATAGAATCATAGTAAATTAGGGCTGGAAGGAACCTCAGGAGGTCATCTAGTCCAACCCTCTGCTCAAAGCAGGACCATCCCCAACTAGCTCATCCCACCCAAGGCTTTGTCTAGCCTTAAAAACCTCCAAAGATGGAGAGTCTACACTTCTCTGGGTAACCTGTTCCATTGTTTTACTACTCTCCTTGTGAGAGAGTTTTTCCTAATATCTAACCTAAACTTCCTCTGCTGCAACTTAAGATCATTGCTCCTTGTGTGGTCATCTGCCACCACTGAGAACGGTTTAACTCCATCCTCTTTTGAACCCCTCTTCAGATAGTTGAAAGCTGCTATTAAATCCCCTCTCAATCTTGTCTTCTCTAACCTAAATACGCCCAGTTCCCTCCGCCTCTCCTTGTAAGTCACATGCCCCAGCCCCCTCACCATTTTTGTTACCCTCCACTGCACTCTCTCCAATTTGGCCACATCCTTTCTGTAGCAGGGTGCCAAAAACTGAACACAAAACTCCAGATGTGGCCTCACCAGTGCTGAATAGAGCGGAATAATCACTTCCCTTGACCTGCTGGCAACACTCCTACCAAGGCAGCCCAGTGTGCTATTAGCCCTCTTGGCAACAAGGGCACACTGCTGGCTCATATTCAGCTTATTGTCCACTGTTATCCCTAGGCCATTTGCTGCAGAGCTACTGCTCAGCCAGTCAGCCCCCAGCCTGTCCCAATGCATGGGATTCTTCTGTCCTACGTGCAGCAGTCAGCCCCCAGCCTGTACCAATGCATGGGATTCTTCTGTCCTAAGTGCAGGACTTGCACTTGTACTTGTTGAACCTCATAAGATTACTTTTGGTCCAATCCTCCAATTTGTCTGTCACTCTGAATCCTAGCCCTACTCTCCAGCATATCTACTACTCCCATTCAGCTTGGTGTCATCTGTAGACTTGCTGAGGGTGCACTTTGCTGTCTTCCTGGTTGTTGATGAAGATATTGAACAAAACTGGCCCCAAGACCAACTCCTGGAGCATGCCACTTGATATCAGCTGGCAACTAGACACCGAGCCATTGATTACTACTCTGAGCCTGATGCACCAGCCAGGTTCTGTCCATCTTACAGTCCATTCATCCAGCCTGCACTTCCTTAGCTTGCCCGTGATAAAGTTATGGCAAAAGCCTTGCTAAAAATCAAGGTTTACCACATGCTATACCATCCTGTACTTAGGATGAAACAATCATATGCACTAGTACAGCCTGGGGGCTGACTGGCTGGGCTGAAGATCTGCAGAAAAGGACCTGGGGCTTACAGTGGACAATAAACTACATATAAGCTAACAGTGGTCCCTTGTTGCCAAGAAGACTAACGGCATGCAGGGTTGCACTAGTAGGAGTGTTGCCAGCAGGTCCAGGGAAGTGATTATTCCCCTGTATTCAGCACTGGCAAGGTCATATCTGGGGTACTGTGTTCAATTTTCTGGTGGTTTCCCCACATCCACAGAGCCTGTCATCTCATCATAGAAGACAATCAGGTTGGTCAGGCATGACTTGCCCTTGGTGAATCCATGCTGGCTGTTCCTAATCACCTTCTTCTCCAAATGCTTAGAAATGGATTCCTTGAAGATCTGCTCCATGATTTTTCCAGGGACTGAAGTGAGACTAACCACTCTGTAGTTCCCTGGTTGCTGCTTTTTCCCTTTCTTAAATATGGGTACTATGTTTGCCCTTTTCCAGTCATCCAGGACCTCTCCTGATCACCAGGAGTTCTCAAAGATGATGGCCAGAGGCTGTGTAATCACATCTGCCAACTCCCTTCACACCCTCGGGACTTATATATCTTTTTAAAATAGCCCCTAACCTGTTTTTTCACCACTGTTGGCTGCTCACCTCCACACAAACTGTGGTGCCAGGTGCAGCAGTCTGGGAGCTGACCTTGCCTGTGAAGACTGAGGTGAAAAAGGCATTAAGCACTTCAGTCTTTTCTGCATCCTCTGTCACTAGGTTGCCTCCCCCATTCAGTAAGGGACCCACACTTTCCCTGATCCTCCTCTTGTTACCAATATACTTGTAGAAACCCTTCTTGTTACCCTTCACAACTCTTGCTAGCCTTCACTACTTCCTTGTCCCTCTGCTCTAGGTCCCCAGCTCAGCCTCTGTAACAGCACCTTCTCTCAGGCACTCCTTCACGGCCTCCTTCTTCCCTTTAACCCACCCCAAACCTCACAGTAAACAAACTCAAAACAGAAACAAATCATATAATGTCTCTCTGTATACAGTTCCCTTCAAAGCTCCTACGTTGAGGCCAAGCTGTGCCCCCAGCACCAGTCTCAGGCTTCTATAGTCCTTGACTCCATCCTCTTCCAGCCACCTGACCTTGCTCTCTGGAAACAGGACCAATATGCTACCCATTACCCCAGATCAGTAGCAAGTGTTGTTAGTTCTCTCATCAGCTGCTCAAAGCCTTGCAGATCCACTTTCTGCAAGATGCTTTCTGCACACTGCTTTCTCTTTTCTTCAGTGACAGGGGTAGGGGACCCTGCTACAGTGTCTCACCCCAAGGTGAGACTTCAGAAAAGTTTTGGATGCCTGCTTGTCTAATATAGTCCCCCTGCCATCCAGATCAGGTTGGCCTGCTTCCTAAAGGTAGGACAGATCCCACCTTTATTCGCACTTGCTTCCCCACACTTCAGGTATCTAAAAACATGTTGTACTTTTACCACAGGTTTCTGAGCGTGCAGAAAGATGTAGAAAATCCAGATGTTATAGTAGGGAGCTACTCCCCACTTTCCCCATTTACTTGGAGCAGGAGCCAAAGGCAGCATATTTAATTTGGATTAGCAATAACTAGGAACAAAGTTGCCAGGCGTTCTCACACTATCTGTAAAGGAAGTCAGAGAATTCCTGGACTCAGAGGCTTATGATAGCTTTGTGTTCCCTGTCTTTTGCCAACATCAATGTATTTATGGTGCTTGGCTTGATGTTAGGCATCCTCATCCTACATATACCAGATACAAATGAATACCGAGTTGTATATGGGAGGTAAGGTGACAGGTGGAAGTCTGCAATACTGTAAGTCTTTGAGACATCTGTTGTGGAATCATGTGCTGAGGTAGGATTGCATGCACAATTATTTTGGAGCTCAGCCATCTAAGCTATTATTTTTCTGTGCAGACCAGAACTGGGCATTTCAACCTCTACCTGACAAGTATTTGTTTCTCAACTGC